TTATCGATAGGCATGGATTAATTGCTGCCATTATGTTTTTTTGTGGTGTTGCTATTTTCTTTGTTCTTTGTGCCTTGCTTTGCTGAGTTCGTGCTTTTTGTGTTCCTTGTGAGTTTCCTTATAGTTTTAATGTTTCCATGTTCTTGAATTTTCATTTTGTTGGTATGTTGTGAAGTGTTAATTTTCTTTGAGATTACTCTATAGTCCATTAACATTTCCCTGTATTCTACCAGACCTTCTCACCATATGGATCTCTGTTCCTACATGTTTACCTTCTTTTATATTGCAACTGTTTTGATCATAGACTGACCTGCCAGATTCTCTGTGTTTGTTCTTATAGTTTTGTATGATCTCGACTCTTCCTTCTGTCAGTTTAGTTCTGGAAGGTGCTGCCATGTATGCCAGTCTCTGATAGTTGTCTGTTCTTTTTGGTTCTCAGTCCACAAAACCTCCTTTAGGATGTTTTGTTGTGCCCGGTTGGCTTTAGCAAAATCCCTTAGCTTCTTTTTATCCTGAATGTTTTGATTACACTATCATATTTGATTGATAGCTTTGCTGAATAAAGGATTCTTGGTTGGCAGTTTTTTTTCTTTCCGGGTTTTATATATGTCTCACCATTGCCTTCTTTTTTTTTTTTTTAGTGTTTTATTGTGAATTATATGATAGTTTACATGGGAGAACATTAGTTTTACATTCATTCTATCGTACATCATATCATTGCCATGGTTACAGTCTCCTCCATACACCATCAGCCTACCAAAGGGTATACCCTGCAAGCCTTCCCCCTACATTACCCACCCCCCAGGTCTTCAGCACACAGTCGCTCTCCCTCTCTGGATCTAAAGCCCCCAGCTGCTCCATTTCTCCATGTCATTGTCTCTGCCTCCATCTCAGGCATCACTGTTTCTCTGGGTAGGGTCCCGCTCTCGGCTCTTCTCCGTTGATGGTCCTAGGGACCTCTACTCCTATACTGTAAAGTTAATCACTTCCTTCCTTGCTATAAATTGTCTACCTTTACATTTCCAACCTTCACAATCAGTCCTGATAACAATTATTCACTATTGTATCACAAGAGACCCATCTGCATTTCATTTCATCAACTCCGCCTAGGCAGATTGGATGTTACTCACTGGAGATTCTGCCGTCCTCCAGGCCGCCTGTCTCTAGATTCCCTCTTGAAAGCTTGTAAGCCAGTCACTTCTTGCCTTTGTAGCCCTACCCCCCCATTTTGGGTAGCCAATGTCCCAAGTTGCCCATCCCTATCTACTCTGTGTGTGGAGGGGGTGGGAATGATTCTTGCTGTAAGAATTTGTTCCCTCTTTTGACCTACTGCTTCCATAGGTGTAGGTTCCCCTTTGCCTTCTTGATTGCATGGTTTCTGCTGAGAGATCCGAGCTTAATCTGACTTGCTTTCCTTTGTATGTAACACTCCTCTTTTCCCTAGCTACTTTCAGGAGTATCTCATTTTTTATTTTGGCGAGCTTGATTATGATATGTCTCGGTGATTTTCTTTTGGGTCTGTCCTTCTTGGGGTTTGTTGAGCTTCTTGAATGTTTATCTTTTCACTTTTTAGGATGTTAGAGACATTTTCTTCCAGCAGTTCTTCAGCTATTTCCTCTGTGGACTTGTGTGATTCTTCTTGTTCTGGTATTCCGATAATTCTTAAGTTATTCCTCTTCATGTTGTTCAACATAAATCTTAGACCTTCTTCGGATTTTTTTAATCCTTTTTTCTGTTTGCTCTTCTATCTTAGTGGTATTGAGAGATTTGTCTTCTAGATTGCTGGTTCCGCGTTCCATCTCTTCTGTTCTCCTTTGCCCTTTCAGTTATATCTGATATTCTGTTATTGATCATTTGGACCTCTTTCTGTAGGTTTTGAATTGTTTCCAATGCTGTATCTATCCTATTTGATTGTTCCTGTAGCACTTTCCTGACTTCTTCCTTATTTTTCTCAACTCCATCGTAAAGTGTTTTGAAACATTTTATAATCATTGTTCTGAATTCCTTTTCAGGCATTTCCAACGCCTGCCCTCATTTCAGAATGCAGTCCAGGTCTACCTCTAGGTCATTTGTCTCGGGCTTTTTATCGTATTTTTGCACATGTGCTGATATAGTCATCTACTTTTTCTTCTTGGACATGCTTACTGTTTATCTGTAACCTTAATACTTAATTTAGTATGTGTTTTGGTATTTTTTTATTCTTTCTGATTGCCTCCAGGTAGGTGTAATCAGGATGTGGCCTTCCCTTTTCACTCTTCTTATCGCTTAACTTAGAGTAACTTTCACAAGTGTTGTCTGCCTCCCTGGTGTATGGTAGTTGGTAATGGTTCTTACCTGGATTTTGGTGTTTTATATAGTGTGGTTGTAGCTTGTCTATATGGCAGCAGTTGCTGTCTCTTCTTGAGTAATATAGGGAGAGAATGAGTCTCCCAAAAGTGGAAGGGGGAACATAAAACAGCACCAGCAAAAAAACTAGATTGGATACTGTAGTCTGTAATCGCAGATCACAGAAAAGGGATAGGAAGGAGAGAAGGGGAAAAAAAAATCTGTAGCCTAATATGAATATGACTTTAATGCCCTCTTTTCAGCTTCTTGCCTTCAAAGCTGTCTGATAGATTTCAAGATGCCACTGGTGGTTGTTACGCTGTACCTCGGGATTTAATTTAAATTTTGGCCTGTTTTGTTTTAAAACTCTCTTTCCCTCTCCACACCCCTTGTTCTGGCCTTTTCCGTATTTAAAAAAAAAAAGTTCCGGACCCGCTCTTGGGCTGAGAGTATCTGTGCGCATGTGTGGCAGAAGAACCCACCAGTGGTGGGGGCGGGAGGGGGGGTGTCCACTTGCTCAGGCACCCCCTCTAGTCACCAGAATTGAGGTGAACAAACAGGGGGAGTGGCCAATGAACAGATACCAAAAGAAGAAGAAAATCAGAATAAAGCAAAACCGACAAAGTGTATTGTCCATCTTTGCTGCGAGGTTCCCACAGCGTTTTTCCATGATGTGTCTGCTTCCCCACTTGGTCTTGCCGTTTGGTCTCTCCCAAGTTGTCAGCTCTGGGCCGCCAAGCCCGGCATATTCAAAAGTACGCAATTTCTTACTTCTGCTACAAGGTCCACTACCTATAAGCTTTCCAATTTTTTAAATATTCCTACCTATGTGGGAGATTTGGAGCTCTGCCCTGAATCTGCATTGTCTGGTATTCTGTGGTATTGCTGAAGGCACACCTCACTGCACCTCTACCCTAGCCACCATCAAGCCCCTTCCCTCCCGCACCCTGTGTAACAATCTCTTACAATTAGTGTTTATACTCTTTACAGGCAATGTAATTATCAGTAAGTTTGGATTTAACTTTACCATCTTCCTTTTTCCCTCTTGCCTCTTAAGTTCTCTGCTGCTTTTCTGTACCCTTTGGTTACTAGTTATACCAGTGCTTGATTTATTTAGCTGGTGCTTTGTGCTTATCACAATCTACTGTCAAATAATGTAATTCATAGAATATGTAAGGACCTTTCCTCTAATCCCATCCTCTTTTCTGGCCTTTGTACTACCTTCTGTTGCCACATATTGCTTTACCTTTAAATCCTACAGTTTGTTGAGGAAAGTTGCGTTAAACAATTATCTTTTTAAAGAGATTTAAAAATGAGAATATTTTTCATATTTCATATTAACTATTAATGATGGTTCTGCATTGCTTTCTATAGATCCACAGTCTCTCAGCTTTTGTTTGTTTGAAAATGTTCTCATTTCTTGGAGTATATAGAACCATAGATTGACTTTTTTTCATTCAGTACTTTTAAAATATCGCATTCTCTTCTGACTTTCAATGTTTTTGATGACAAGTCTGTGGTAATATGATATATATATTTTAGAGGCATTTTTAGTGGTTTTTAGAAAATGTATCATGAGTTGCCCTGATGTGGTGGTCTCTGTGTTTATGTTGCTTTGATTTTTCTGAAATCACATTGAGTACCTTCTATATGTTGTTGTTAAGTGCCATGGAGTCGGTTCCGACCCATAGCGACCCTGTACAGGGTTTCCGAGGATGTAAATCTTTACGGGAGCAGAAAGCCTTGTCTTTCTCCTGTGGAACATCTGGTAGTTTTGAACTGCTGACCTTGAGGAGCCCTGCACCAGTGAAGATCTACAGCCTCGGAAACCCTGTACAGGGTCGCTTATGGGTCGGAACCGACTCCACAGCACATAACAATGACAACAACAGTCTTTGTTGTAGTGATTCTATGTAGAATGTCTGCCTAGTATTCACCTTCTATATACTCCTAATTAACTGAATAATTTGAGAATGTTACAGGATTGTAATTTTAAAAATTAATTAATTCCAGCAAACTGCTACAGTTGATTATATTAGTACTTTTCTAATGCATATTTAACTTATTAATAGTTACTTAGGGGTTTTTTTTGTGTGTGTCAGGGCAGTTACATGTATCTTTTATTGAAGATACATATCAATAAAAAAGTAACCCCCCCCATGCTTAACTGTTAATTTTATGCAGTATTTGCAACTTGCAATTTTTGAAATACTGACTGTTAAGTCTAAACCAGAACATTTAGTTTTAAAAAATTTGTATTATTTACTAATTCAAATAATACTTTTCAAAATCTGGTTATAAATACCTTTAGTAAAAGGAAATTGTTTTTCATCTGTGTTTTGGTATCATTGCTTTGTTTATGTAAAGTAAGTCTTTCAATTATAATTTAACTGTATTTTTGAAACAGTACTTTGGTTTTGACCATAAACAAGTTTTTGTTTATAATTTAATATGGGCTTCTTGTTGTTGTTAAGTGCCGTCAAGTCATTTCTGACCCATAGCGACCTTGTATAGGGTTTCCGAAGAGCAGCTGGTGAGTTTGAACCGCCAACCTTGCAGTTTAAACGGCTCTGTAGTCTGATGTATTAATCCACAGCATCACACAAGGACTCCAGTATGGTTTTACAGAGAAACCTTAATGGTAGATTCAACATTACCTTGTCTTCTTTTTTTAGGCCTGATCAACCTCGAATAACCAAAGATGTAATTTGTTTTCATGCTGAAGATTTCTTAGAAGTAGTTCAACGAATGCAGTTAGATTTACATGAACCCCCACTGTCTCAGGTATGTTTTAAGTAATTGTGTTTTATCATTAGTTTAATTTTTACCTTAATTTTCATTGTGGAAGACTAGTTTGAATTCCTTGTTTTCTTTTTTTAGTGTGTCCAATGGGTTGATGACGCAAAGCTTAACCAATTGAGGAGGGAAGGCATCCGCTATGCCAGGATTCAGCTGTACGATAATGACATTTATTTTATTCCGAGGAATGTTGTGCATCAGTTCAAGACGGTTTCAGCTGTTTGCAGTTTGGCGTGGCATGTTCGTCTTAAGTTATATCACTCAGAGGACGACACTTCTCAGAATACAGAACCAAGTACATCGTCAAATCTTACATCATCAGTTCTTGGACCTCATACAGACAATATGACTTGTGCTATAAGCAAAGCATCCTTGGATTCTGTTATTTCAGAAAAATTTCATTCTAAATACGAATTACAGAAAATTAAACATGAACCTTTTGCATCAGTAAGAATCAAGGAAGAGCCAGTGAGTGTTAATATTTCTGAAAAGACTAGAGCATCTAATAATATGGATGGCAAGAATACTAAAGCAAAATTGGATCATGTTCAATTTACAGAATTTAAGACTGATATGGACTCTAAGTTTGAAAATAGAAACAAAGATTTAAAGGAAGAATTGTGTGCTGGAAGTCATATGAGTCTAGTTGATACAAGGCAAGAAAGAAAAGATAATGACATTTCGTGCTAAATTTGTACATATCACTTAAGATTTTTTTTTAATTTAATAATGTAATAAAGATTCATGAATTCTAAAAGCAAGCCAAGGACTTGCTCCCAAGTCTGTTACAAAATATAGTTTATGTAGCTTTGTAACATTCCTCAGTGCCTGTCCATAACTGTGAAAAATCAAAGCACTTAGGGCCAGATGCACTGTAAACATTGCAGGTTTAATTATAAATATTCTTTAGATCATTTGAGCTGTAGGATTTAGAATAGAGGTAACCTTAATACATACATACATACGTATATATATACACACACACACACACATATATATATATATATATACACACACACATATATATTTTTTAATATGAGCCAGAATCTTTTGACAATTTAAGCCTTTTCCATAGAGCTTATTTATACCAATTTTTTTTTTTTTTTTAAATTTTAAATGTGCCAGCACTGTAGTGTAAAGAGCTTTTTTAAAAAAGTTTTTTAGTGTGATTTATACTGGACTATGAGCCACTGAATAAAGGTTCATAAAATACCTTTTCTGTTGGGTCTACAAAAAGGCAAACTGACAATTCAGTTAAATCATTTATTTGATGTGTTTCTCTCTGCTGGTGTATCCATTTAGAGTGGCGTTGTTGTTAAGTGCCGTCAAGTCTGTTCCGACTCATAGCAACCCTGTATAGGGTTTCCAAGGAACAGCTGGTGAATTTGAACCACCTACCTTGCATATGTAAGTATTCAAATACAGTGAATATTTAAATTTACCACACTGTGCAAGAATTTTTAAAAACAAAGATTTCAGTTATGAAAGCGTGTGTGTGTGTGTGTGTGTGTGTGTGTGTGTGTGTGTGT